GGAATTACTTTTTTACTTTTCGACCGCAGCCAGACACTTTTCCCTCACTTGCGTCTTTTCCTTGCATCTTAGTCCCGCACACCGGGCATGCATGGAGAGACGCAAAGGGTCTTTCTCATTTCCCAAATTTGCGTCTCCTCTCCTCGATCCTCTCCTTCTAGCGGCGCGTTTAGTCCCTCCCACCCGAGATTGCAAGCTCGAGGAGTGGAGGAGACGTGAGGAGAGAGGAGTCGAGGAAACAGGCATGTAACGAAATGACATGCCCTTTCCTTGCAGCCGTCAATTTAAAGCGATGTCAATTAAATATGACATGTTGCACAGCTGCACCATCTGTCCACTGTTTGTGCAGTGATCTCTGTCAGAGCAGCAGACCAGGGCTGAGTTCAGCGCAGACAAAACATAGCAAAACATTTTTTTCTACGGAAACGGTGGCTCCCTGAACACCCTTTCCAACGAGTGCATACTATGGGGCTGAATTTGGGCTGTCAGTGAAAGTTTGGTAGACGTCTAACCATAGCCCAAATATAGTCTAGTCATCAATTAGGCCACCATTGAACGGCTACATATAGACGTGTATTAGATGGTGAAAATGGGTCTAGGCTAAAACAAGGTTGAATTTGGGCTGTCAGTGAAAAGTTAATAGATGTCTAACCACAGCCCAAGAATAGACCAAATACACAGCTTTTAAATGACTACATATCTAATCTCTAATAGAAAACAGAATAGTGGCTAAAGGATTGTTTTTACTCAAACAAAACAGGTTCTCACAAATGGTAATCCGTCCAAAAAAATTAAATATAAAGATTTTATTAAGAAAAAGGATTACAACGTAGACAACTTAAGATAATACAACATGATGAAAATATAAAGGAATTATTGCTTAAATAATATAAATACAAAACAGTTCATATATATATGAAAATACAAACAATTTTAACAACATGCGGTAATAAAAACATAAATAATGATAAAATAAATTGGTTGGCTACATCCAAATCTAGATCTTCATCTAAGCTGCTACTTGATGCAGGAAGAGCATCAGATGGGTCTCTCGGTTGGCGCCAGTCTCTCGGGTAAATGGGATCCATAACTGTTGATGTAAGAATATGAATATAAGTAAACATTATAATTTGATTATGTTGACTGTTTTCCCATAAGACATGACTACTATCATCAAATGTTTTTAAATGAAAACATACAGTATATTTCTAATTATCATTCTAATGAAGGTTATTTTAATTTAAAAGTATTTATTACTGACCCATTTATCTCTATGGAAAATATAAAGATACTTGAACAGGACACGTTTTAGCCATGTTGCATTAGAACAACCAAATAGAGAAAGCTGCTTTTATTCTTTTGAGAGAGCTATCTGCTGTGAAAGTAAGTGTTCTGTTCTGAATATTTATTGTTGTCTTTGCTGACTGTATGCTGGATAATTTGCAATAAATATTTAGTGTCAAAAGTCAAAAACTAATTTTCATATCATAATGATCTAGTGAGTAATATATGTGTGGCTTTCATTACAAATTATAACAGGTACGGTTGCACATGTTTTATGTTCACCCCTTCTGAATTCAGATAATATAATGTAAGAGTTTTTAAGGGCATGAGGAAACCTGTGGGTATCATGGAGTAACGTTAAGTTACACTTGTTGCATGTTAAGCTAACTACAACGTGCTTTACTCTACACTGTTACCTGCTGAAATGTCCCGGTTCCTACACGTTAACATATAATGTAGATAAATAATGAAGACTTTTCAAACAAAGACACAGATACTTACAAGACCAAAGTAAATGTCTTTTCGCTTCCAGTGTTTGCAGTAAACTCTCGCCCCTTGGTCGCTGAAAGGTCGTAGTCGTAACGTATCCCTCGTTTAAAAATAGATAGATATTTTTATCGCGAGATCTGGCCGTCCCTGATGTCTACTAACTTTCAAGTCTCGCATTGCCAGTAGTCATGTGTCAGTAGGGCTACAGCTGCCATCTAGCAGCTGAAAATAGTAATTGCATTTTGTTTTAAATTAAAATGAAAGTTAATGCAGGGAAAGTTACAGCGAAAATAAAGATAATTTAAATGTTTCAAACGTTTACTTGCATTTGTTGAAATGATATCACGCACCTCAACAGCTGCATAGGCGAAAACTACATGTAACCTATTTGGTCTGAAACAGGGCTACGGCCAAGCTGTTGATATTAGACCACTAATTGCCTCTGTTTCGCCGGGTGGGCTAAAAGCCGACTACACGTAGCCTGGTCAAATAAGCTAAATCGTGGCTGAAAAGTTGGTAAACATTGTGACGTATTTGTGTGGGCGGGGCATAGCTGGAGGCAGAAAGATTCCCCTGAATACTTCAACAACGGTAGCCAGCAAATTTTGTTAGCTTTTTTTTTTTTTCAACAATGGATGGAGAAAATCCGATTTTCTCTGAATATGTAAGGTCACTCACTGTCCGGGACCGCGATAATTATTTTAAAAAGTTAACTTTAACGGACGGAACCAGATTGGTCGACCCCTACACACTCACTCAATGGATGGAGGAACTGACAGGATTACCTCCGGTAGAGTGGCCTGACATCTACACCTACCTGATAGAGAAACCGAGCGTGTATAGTAAAGACAAACTGAGGGCGTATAAATCCTTAGATGCCTATAACTACGTACTGAATGGTCATGTACAAGACTTAAAATACAAAGATTTAACAGATGAGTTTTGTGTCGTACGATCCGAAGTTCTGCCTAGCCAGCGCCAAAGCCAGAAGACGACCATGTACCAGGTTTGGGTCATTGTAAACAGAAGAAACAACTACGTCTTGACCGCGAACTGCACTTGCATGGCTGGGTGAGTAACTTAGCTAATATAAGATTAGAAAGATCACATTTGATATTGAATTTAAATGGAAAAAAACGTTTGTTGTTAATAGTTATGTTCCATCATTATGTTGTGTTTAGCTATGTTGGTGTGTTAGTGATGTTGTTGTGTTAGCTATGCTATGAGATGAGCAACAAGTTATCACTCAGTTTAATTTTCCATCTGACATAACAGTCTAGGGTCTTGCTGCAGCCATGCAGTCGCAGTGCTATTTAAGGTGGAGCTGTATGTTAGGATGGGGAGGACCGAGCAGCCAGCAGGCACATCAGGAGAATGTCTCTGGAAACAGACGAAGAGAGAGGTCAAACCAGCCAGAATTAGGGAGATCAACTTCCAGAGGCCTAAAAGACAGTTGACCGCAGCAGTTCCAGCCAAAGTCAGGAGGTTCAATAGCAGTGCTAGAGGCATGTACAAGAGTAGATGAGGGTTTGTTGAGTTAAGAGTTAAGAATTAAGCTGCAATTACTACCTGACCAGGTCAGAGCTATTCTGGTAGGTGAAGATTCATTCTCAAATGTCCAGTCAAACTTTGAAGTGCTTAGTTGAATCTCAACACATTTTACATACCAGATATGAGACAACCAAGAAAGCAATACAATATATTATAACACAATCATATAATATGCATACATACACACATTAAAGTGCGTTAAATATTGTTGTCCTATGTTATCTTCTAGAACTCACAGATGAAGACATCCAGGAACTGTATTCGATTGCCCCTGACGCTGCTGTTCTTACCAGCATAGAAAACAGTGACACTGACACAGCTTCTGAGTCTGAGCTAGAGCATCCTCCAGAGTTGCCAGAGCCGCTCACAGCCTTGTACAACCCTACGCTCAGACAGCACACACATGGGGACATCAGAGAGAAATGTGAGGAAGCCTATCTCAACATGAGAAGGAACATCCACCCAGATCAGTGTGAGAGACTTGAGACTATCACAAAACTGCAGGCAAAGTCCCAAGACTGGCACACTCACAGGGCAGGCAGGATTACCAGCACAACATTTTATACTGTATGTAAAGGTGACCATCTGCACAAAACCACCCTGGACAAAATCATGCGCTACAATGACACCAACATACAGGTTGAAGCAGCTGTATGGGGAAGAGACAAAGAGGAAATTGCTAGGGAGTGTTACACCAAAGAGCTCAACAAAACCCATCAAAATGGTACGGTTAGTCCATGTGGTTTTGTGATTCGACCTGATGAACCGCACCTAGGCGCATCTCCAGATGGGAAAGTTGTGTGTTCCTGCTGTGGGGAAGGGGTCTTGAAAATCAAATGCCCATATAAATACAGGGAAGGCCTACAGGGTGTGACAGTCACCAAGGATTTCTGCCTTGACAAAACATTCCAACTAAAGAAGACACACCAGTACTACCACCAGGTTCAACTGCACATGTTTGCCTGCAATGTCCAGTACTGTGATTTTGTGGTGTGGACAACTCAGGAGCTGGTTGTAAATCGCATCCCAAGAGATGAAGAGCTCTTGCAGAAGGATTTACCTAAAGCGAAGCAATGTTTTGTATCTTTCATTCTGCCAGAACTTCTAACCCACAGCCAAGATCCTGCCCTTCAACCACCAGTGTTTTGTAACACCTGTGAAAAGCCAGAGTTTGGTAAAATGATTGAGTGTAGCATGTGCAAAAACTTCTTTCATTATAGTTGTGCACAAGTTAAGAGGAGGCTACAGAACTGGCACTGCAGTTGCTGTAGATAAATACACCAGACTCACCTGTGTCTATCTTCACGGTTAGCCATGAAGAGATATATGCTTCTATTTCAGCAGGGAATAAGTACTATTTTACTGCTACATGTTAGTGAACTGGGCTAAAATACAAAAACAGTTAAACCTTCAATGTGGTGGATAAGGTATTGGGTATGGAAATGTATGTATGTAATGGCATAAGAGATATTTTAAAGTATGATTCCTGTAAATTAAGAATGAGATAACAGTACAATGTAGTATTAAGATGTAAATATTTTTTAGAAATAAATTCTGAACACTGCAAATTAATTATAAAACTTCTGTATTTAATTATTCTTTCTTACCAGGTTCTTAAAAAACAACAATGTATATACAATCACAGATGATTCACAATTAATCAATAGTTTAGAAAAAAAACAATTCTCAATTGAATTAGAGTGAAAAGCATATAAATCATCAGTACATTGTTGTACACACAACACTGATATTTCATACACGACATACTCTCTCTTTTCTGGGTACCACAGATTTACACAAATTGGTAAGAGCACCACACACAATCACCATGTCATCCAAAAGGCTAACTTGGGAAATAGGAATAACAGAATGCAAAATTTTTAAACTCTTCCATCTGCTTATAACTCTCTCTACATGAATTCTCACACGTGACAGTTGTCTGGATGAATCTACTTCACAAGCAGGTAACTGACTCTTTCCTTTGGTAAAATTTGGTATACACAAAGTGGCACCATAAGCAGCAAGTTCATCCCTGATCAAAAACCCCCTGTCCGCTAAGATTTCATCTTTGGGCTCTAACAAGTGCAAAAATCCTGATTCAAGTGTTATCTGCTTATCTGACACTCTCCCACCCCAACCCGTGGACAGAAATGAAACTGCCCCAGCAGGTGTTATTCCCACCAGGTACTTAACAGTGTTGTGATGCTTGTAATTGGACCAGGTTCCCTGGCAGTCAAGTTAGTAGATCTCTCTATGAATATCTCTGTACAGTCAATTATACACCTGCATCTCTTGAAATGTCGCCTGAAACTTTTGGGCATATTTTTAAGGACAGCACCTTTACTTGGCCATTTAATAATGGATTTCAAGATGTTTGCAATTACAGGCAACCAGGACCTTAGAATGTTTGACACTGTGCTTTCAGAAACTTTGAACCTATATGCAATATCTCTGTTACTGAGCCCCAATCTCAGTTTCATAAGAACGACTAATAAATGATCTTCTAGCATGAGACTTTCAGTTCGCTTCTGCACACTGTCTTTAATTTTTGACATTAACCAACTGAAGATGACTGAAGTTAACCCAGTGAGAAACAGAAAGTTTGCAGCATTGTTTTTGATCGTGGAGAATGAGAAGTGTGATTTCTGAAGCTCCTCTTTCAGTCTTTCATTCTCCTCTTTAAGTTGGTAAAAGTCTTTTCTTAAGTTGACATATTCAGTGTTGAGTTGATCATACTTCTCACTGAGACTGTTGTATGCTGCTTCAGGGACCAGCTTCTTCCACTGCTTCCTCTGGTGTCACTGGATCATCATTAGCTGGAAGACATTTGTGAAAAACAAATGACAAAGCAGTTTGATAAATGTATGTATGACAAAAACATTGTACTGTGCATAAAACATTTTCAATGTTCTTACCATGGCAAGAAGCCTGTTGCTCCACTGTTGAACATTCCCTTTTCCTTTTTCTTTCCAGCCTTAGAAAAGCAGAACAAAACAGAGAAGACAGAGATTTTAGTGAGGAAGACTGCACACACGAGTTACAGCCTATGGTAACACTCAGCTAGCCACATTAAGAAAACTCAATTTCACCTACCTCTCCAGCTTTTCCACAGGCCTGTCATTCTGCCGTTTATAGGAAAACACAGACGGGACGAAGTCAGGGCTGTCTTCATCCATAGAAGCCTGTCCTACAAAATAATAATAAGTAATTAAAGCTAGTGTCAGCCTACCTTATTATGTAGTTAGCTAGCTAAGGTTATCCTTTTCGTTGGCTACTAACTGTGGTGAAAGTTAGCAAATCCAACTACTTGAACATAATACCTGTACATGACACGGGCCTTCTCACTGTACTTTCTACGATTGCAAACCTGCAACGGTTGAAAGGCAGACGACACCAACAGTGTACGTTTATGTTAACGTTATCTAACTGCTAATTAGTTGTACTTCGAACAAAGTTTGCTAACTATGACCTCAAAAAGTCAGCATCACGACAGAAATTGCAAAAGCATCTGAATTGGTGTGATGCACAGATCGGCTCGTACATTAACGGAACTCATAAGCCTATAATCCATGATGCTCTGATGGAGCTCAGCATTGATCAGGAGGACGGCTGCTTTACTCCAAACAGTTTCTCTGTATGAACCTGCACTGTGTGTGAGAGCTTTTGGATGTGTAGAAGAACACAGATCATGAATTAACATTAGATCTTGACTGATCCTGTCGGCGCATCGGAAGATTTAAATATTAATTTATGTTGCTGTTGCTCGAGCGTAAATGCGCACAGCGTCTCTGGAGAGGCGCTTCACCCAGCCGCTATTCAGTGTTCATTTTTACAATCCTGCTGTCCATCCACACATCACATTCAACAACATCAGTGATATCAAAGTGAAACTACAACTGCAAGCAGTTATAAGCGGGGTCCAGTTATAAGTGGAGAATAAATGAGCAGTTATAAATCAACGGGGCTTGCGGTTATGGAGATCTGAAATGAATGTATGTCTATGGGAGTGTTATTTGATTTCCAATTAATAGCGCCACCTAGAGGCTGATTGACGCCAATTTTCACACATCCCTTTGGGAGGGCGTGCCACATAAGGTCTCCGAGTTTGGTGTAGGTCGGCAGTTGCAAACGTAAGATGTGACATGACATCCTGTTTTAGCGTTTGCGCAAACATTTCTCAGCTTATAATTCTGACGTTTTTTAGCGGATCAAAATTCCCTGTACAAACTTTTATCGGCTCGGTCCAGAGATGATCCGTGCCAAGTTTCGTGCCGATCTGAGAAGTTAATTAAAATAGTTTTTTTTAATTTAGCGAAATGAAAACGTCATTGCACAGAGGCGTGTCCTATACCATACGAATCGGCAGCATCCCCCAAACACGTAGACATAAGGTTTATGAATGTGTGATGTAGTGGGCCGTAGTTGCAAAACGTCCTTTGGTTGAAAATCCCATTGAAATGAATGAATGATTGGAGCTTCGATTATAGCACCACCTTTTGGCCAAATTGCACAAAATCTTTCAGGTGTCATCGGGGGTCCATGGGGAACAATTTGGTTCCCACATTTGGTGTCAATCGGACTTGTGGTTATGGAGATATAAAATGCATGTAAGTCAATGGGATTTTTTTGCCATCTTTAATCTGCAATAACAGCGCCACCTATGGGCATATTTGGGTGAACTTTGGTGCCTGTAGTAAGGGGTCCAGGCTGAACAATTCGGCTCTTGTTTCATGTCAATGTGACTTGTGGTTATAGAGGAACAATTTTTTCGAATTAAATAGCGCCACCTAGGGGTGAGTTGCACCAAATTTTGCACAGGCCCTCAGGGGGGTGTCCCACATTAATGCTCCAAATTTGGTGTCGATCGGCCATTCAAAAGTGAAGATATGACATAATTTCCAGTTTTTAGCTTTTTTGGCAAACATTTGTCATTGCGACATTTTTTGTCGGATCAAAATTTCCTCTACAAACTTTGATCAGCTTGGTCCAGAGATTATCCATGCCAAGCTTGTTGTCGATGGGACTTGCGGCTTCGGAGAAGTTAATTAAAATAGGTTTTTCAGTTTTCGCGATGTAGCGGAAAAAAAACTTTAGGCGGTAATGGGCGTGGCCTATACCACGATATTCAGCTCGATCCCCCAAACGTGTGGATATAAGTTTTTTGAATCAGCCTTCATGAGCGTGAGTTCCAAGCCTAAACGCTTTGACTGTGCTTATAGCGCCCTAGCACTTACCTCTAATTACATAAAGGAATGTGGTTAGAACAACTTTATGAGGCGCTACACAAACGGTGAAGGGCATGCTTAACGAATACAAATTATGAATACAACATAAACACTGCAGAGTCCTGCTCCTGCCATGGGTTGGTCCAGCTGCATGTCACGCCTCTTTTAAACGTCACAGTGGCTGAAAAGATTTCTACAAAGATTTCTTACAATATGACCCATCCACCATTGTGTCCCTGAGCAAGACACTTAACCCCTAGTTGCTCCAGAGGCGTGCGACCTCTGACATGCATAGCAATTGTAAGTCGCTTTGGATAAAAGCATCAGCTAAATGAGTAAATGTAAATAGATGGCATGGTGCTAAAGCAATGATTGATGGCATGCTCAATAATTGTTGCCCAAATTGCATTTGAAACTTGAACTTTATTTTCTCTTCTTATTGTGAACTCCTATTCCTCAGGCATGTCTGCTTCTCACTCTCTGTTCGGCCTTTGGCCTCTTTGATCCATGTTTGCAAATAAAAACACAGAAGTGGTTAAGGACTGACTGCTGATTGAAGAGTTGTGCAAAGGAGTTTCACACAGGTGCATTACAAATTTATAATTATGCAAGCATTTTCTATCAGCTGTGAATATATGTTTTCTTTTTTCTTTCACAGTGACATTATCAGTTAATGTCTCTGCTGTGGTCCAGAACTGATTTCATCAGTATCCTCAATTTTTTTTGCAATACCACCACCACCAGGATTTTTTTTTTCCGGCATAGAGGTTGAAGGTTTTTGATCTCCAGCCTTATTCCAGAGTACCACTCATTCAAGCAACGGAGGAAGCCTGCGACATCTGTGCAAGGATAGATTCGCCATGGAAGAAGATTTTTCTGTTATAGGTTTCTGTTTTCTTTGTCTCCACAATTATTTTTTTTGTGTGTTTATTATGTGCTGTATTTTTTGTGTGGAATTTTCAGGGCAAAATGCACTGTAAGGATGTTTTGACAGATGCCTAATTGTGAAGAGATATACATATTCATCACTATGCATTATAGCCTTGTGTGTTGTTGTCAATATATTCATATATTTAGCCCTAACAATATTTCTACAAAAGATCAAGCCCAAACTATATCATTAGAAAAGTAGAAATGCTAAAAGTGTTTTAGATTGATCAATGCAGTGTGTAACTGTTTTAAACAAAGTGAGTTTTGTGATGGTTTTGATTGAAGTAGATCATTTTTCAAAAGATCTCAGGTATTCTGCTACTTGTGCATGTGGTTTGTGAACTGTGTTTGAGTTTTGAAAAAATTAGCCCTGTTATCAAAATTGTGTTTAAACAGTCTTAAAAAGACTGTAATCCAATAGTTTGGGTTTAGTTTAGTTTTTTAAAAAAGGGCGTGAAAATGTGTTAAACAAATGAAAAAGTGTTAACACACAAGACTTCTGCTGTGCTAAGAAGGTGATGAAGTGGATTCCCCACAATTTTTTTCTGATTGGTTAGGCACAATTTTTTAAACTAAAGGTTATTTTTGTAAAATTCTACACACTAACCTTTACCAAAAAAAGCTAAACATTATACATATGGCAAAGGCAAACAGTTCTGGCCAAACTCTTTTAAAACCTGTTTTTGCATCAGTACAGTCCACACAAACCATATTTAAATAAGCATACCAAGAAGCAACTACACACTGATAGTATAAACGAAAAACAGTTGTGGCTTTTGCTTTTTGTGTGCAGACCAGTTAGCAATAAAGTTTTGTCATGCATGTAATACAGTAAAACACACACACAGGTGCCCAAATGTGTAAAGTATGGTTGTATATTCTTCAGAGATGCTCACAAGTCTTTGAGATAGAGTCCAAGTCAATCCAGGTTTCTAATAAAACTGCATAGCTATAAGGAATTCTGTAACTGTAACCTGTTTTTCATTTACCGAGCACAACCATGTAGCCTAATGTACAATGCGTCTACAATTAATGACACGATTGACAATGATTATACATGACTGTAAGTCAACAAACACTGTTGATTTTCAAACCCAGTGTAAGTTAACTAAATAATTACATGGTCAATATTAAAGCTGTAACATGTTTTTAACTTACAGAGCACAACCATGTAATGTGCAATGCAGTTAATGACAGCTTATAAACTACTGTAAGTCAACACATCCCCCAGACTCTCAAAGTAAAGCTGTAACCTGTTTTTAACTTACAGAGCACAACCATAACGTTCAATGCAATCAATGACAGCTTAAACTACTGTAAGTCAACACACCCTGCAGACTCTCAAACCAGTGTAACTTTATAACTAAATTAAACTGTAAGGTTACATGATCAACAATAAACCTGTAACCTAGACAACGGGAATAATTAACGTGATAGCAGCCAGCGGGACGTAAATAAGTTAAGGGGAATAACGGTAAGCTCATCGGACATTAGCTAATAAATAAACATTGTTCACGAGTCCCGCGCCTTGAGTCCGAGTCAAGTCTGAAGTCTTTTGAGGACGAGTCTGAAGTCGAGTCTGAAGTCACTGTGTGTGCGATTTAAGTCGCACTCGAGTCCGAGTCTCTAACTCAAGTCCCCATCTCTGATATTCTTCAGTAGTTTTACAGGATCTGAGTTTCTTTCAAAAGGGACTCTTGTGCAGCTGCTTCATCCGCTGCAGAGAGACTCACTCTGTTCATGTTTAGAAATACTGTGTTATCTGCCAGCATGTGGTCCTGTAGAGTGTGATGCAGTTGACATATGCTGGTCTGCTGCTGTGTGAACAGTACCCCTTCCCTTCCACCAGATACTGGATATCTTGCAATTCTACAAAAAGGTTTGATTGGCTATAAATTAGTGATACATCCTTATTATTACAGTGCATTACTGAACCAGTACCAGGGCTGTACAGCACTTACAGTTAATTACCAAATAGTTAATAAATACCAAATGTAAATGCACTGGCTGGTGTTAATAGTTTCAGAAATAG